CTCTACTTGATGAAGCGAGTTTCTTATTAGTACTGTCGTATCTTTTCACTGGATGATACCACTCCTTCCTGAGTTCAGTCATAATAAAGGCCATACTGGGTAATCGTGTTGTATTCAGTCGTTTGTAGCGTCGCGAGAGCCGCTCTCCTTCGGGGTTAATATGGCTGAGTCTCCTCAGGGGGGTACCGCCGGCGGCAAGGCCCTCGATAAAGGGCCGCATAACAAAAGTGTGGCGAGCGAAGCTGTCAGCCCGAGTGAACCCACCACTCTAGCAGGCGTGCTCTACTTCAATTGTAATACCGTAAATCCGTCACTTCCTACTGACCATACCCCTCAGTCCTGGATACAAGGATGGGTCCAGCAGCGTCCCCTAGAGAGGGGAAGTCCTCTGCGGCAGTAGTGGATGCGGCTGCGGCTGCGGCCTCTGGAAGACCTTCTGGTGGCAGCCTGCTCACGAATGAGAGGCTGCTTGGCCCGTCTACTGGGCCCCGCTATGCTTTCTGTCTGCGTAGTAATGTTTTCTCACAGTATTACATTAGTGAGAGCAGGTAGTAGTAGTAGTAGTAGTAACGTAGTAATCGGTTTACATGCTTTTGCTAGGTTCCCCGATTCCCTCATCATTCCATCAGCTTTCGAGTGGCCTTTGGAGCTCTGTCTTGTCGTCCAGCCTGGGCCGGTAGGTCCATATCTGGTTTGAACAAGTAGTGAATGTCGACTCCTTAGGGCGTGCCCTTCCCTTCTACCCTTCCATGGTACTGTGGTGCCCAAGACCGTACCAAGAAGGTGGCAGCATCGAAAAGTGGTAGTAGTCCGAAGCAGTCTGGAAAGAGTGAGGCTAGGATAGTGGGGGAGCCCTTGAAGGTGTTGGAGGTCGATCTAAGAGGCGACTGTATTGAAGGCATTCAGATATCATACAAAGATGCTGGCCGGGGTGGGCATATGGTAGATCGCTGGGTGCAGTTTACACACGAAAACAGACTCCTCGAGGTAGTGGTAGTGCATCCAAGGTTGCCCAGCTAAAGATTCAAAACACTCCGCATACAGTACAGTGTGTGTAAGCTTGGATATCCTTACTGACGCCATAACGCCTGACGAGGCCAGCAAACCTGCTA